TTTTTTTTTTGTACTGGGGATCGAACTCGGGTCCTTGTGCTTGTGAGTCAGACAGTGGGACCACTGAGCTAAATCCCCAGCCCTGGTGAAATTTTTTTATGAGGCAGATGAGAGTGTTTATGCTTCATACCCCATTCATAAAGATAGGGTAGATTGTCATAACTAGAACTCTGTTCCTGGAAGTCCATCCAGCCTTGGCATCTTTTGAAATACTCTGCATCATTGAAATTACATCCCACACCCCAAGTGCTTTACATGAAGTATTAAAAGATAGTTGCTTTCTTTTTTGATTTCTCTTTTTTTTTCATAGCTTCTGTCTCTGTCTTCCTCTCCCCCCACCTTCTTTCTTGTTGATTAGTGGTTTGATTTGTTTTTTTTTGTTTTGTTTAGTTTTTTTGGTACTGGGGATCAAACTTGGAACCTTGTACTTTTGAGGCAGGCAGTGTCACCACTGAGATAAAACCCTAGCCCTGGTTTGGCTTTCTGGAGGCAGAGTCTCACTATCTAGCCCAGGCTGCCCTCAGATTTGCAGGGATCTGAATGCTGGGATTATAGGCGTGTGCCACCAAACCCAGTTTAACCCTTGTGTTTCTTAATTTTTGGTAAAGAAAAACAAATATTTTACCTCCCAGCTATTTAAATATTTCACTATTTTTGTAAAGTTCCTCATTTTTTCTTTTTCTAGTTAAATATTCGTTTTAAAAGTCTTTACATGTACATTTTGGAGCATTTGTGTTTTTTTGCTGCCTTCCCTGGATTCAACAAGGTTTCTGTGGACAAAATGTGCTAATTATTTTACTGGGCATAGGGTACACCAAGATAAACCATTCAGTTTTTATTCTCATCAGGCTTATGAGTCTGGAGGCCAGCTGTTCACTCCTGACTGCTCAGATTGGGGCCTTCTCCTGGCCTTGTCTATGTATTCTTTTCTGGAGCATACTTACCTCTCTCACTAGCCAACCCTCCAGTGCTTAGTATGAGAAGCTTTCAGAATAATCCGTGTTGTAGATCCCTTCTGCTCACATCCTATTACAGTGGTGTAGATATGCCTTTCCCCTGCATTCTGAGAAGTATAGGTGATGCTATTCCAAAGATAGTGTTGGCTTGTGAATGCTAGACACCATCATATCCATCCACTTTCCTCCACAGCCTCTTCAAAATGCTGTTTGGTATACAAATTATTTCTTCATTTCATTTTTTGAGACCGGGTTTTGCTGTGTAGTTTAGGCTGGCCTTGAACTTACTATGTACCCCTGGCTAGCCTCGAACTCTGAGCAATTTTCCTGCTTCATTCTCCTGTGTGCTGAGCTTACAGGTGTGCGCCATCATACCTGGCATACTAATTATTTTGTAATAATTACAGATAGTCTAAATTAAATGTTTAATTTAAATTTAATTTATTAATTTAAAGTCTAAATTAAATTAAATGTTATGATGCTTGTTTTTATTTCAGCATAAAAACCAGGATTTATTGTGAGAGGCCACCCCTTTGTTAAGCTTAAAAGTTAAACTGACTCATGAAATTATTCTTACAGCATTTTAAGTCTTCCACACCAAGCATCTCCAGTATCCCGCACCCCAAGCCTTCCTGCTGTAGACACGAGCTACATCAACACCTCCCTCATCCAAGACTACAGGCATCCTTTCCACATGACACCCATGCCTTATGACTTACAAGGTGAGTCACAGTTCTCTGTATTGTCAAGTTGTATTATGGGTGCCTATGATCTCTACAGGCCCCTTGAGGGAAACAGCCCTTAGACCCAGGGAATTAAGAGAAATAATATATTTTGGTCATAAAAACTGACCCACTTTCTTCACCAATAGTCACTGATAAAACTAGGGCAGTAACTTACAAGTTTTATAAGTCTTTGAAGTGTCCTGCATGTTGTGTTTGGATGACTTCCAATGTTTGGCTTTGAATTTTGATATTTATGAATATTTCTGTTCCTCAGTTCTAGAAGTAAATGCAGCAAGCACTGTGTGTAACTGTACTGCACAGTCTTTTAGATAATGCTGAATTGAGACATTTGAAAGTTTTAATTTTGATTCTACTGAACCTTATCCTTCTTAAAAGTAATTTGAAATGTCAGTTTGCTCACTTGTGTATTTTGAGTTCATAATAATCATTTCCGTTATCAAAAAGAGTTATTAGTCATTCTCATATATCTTTGTAATTTAATAATTTATGTATTACCCATATAACTCAAGAACACTTTTATTACAAAAAGTCATATACATCCTTTGTAGAAAATTCCATACAAAAACACAAAGTGAAATTTTTCCTCCACCCCTCCCCCAAGCCCACTATCCAAAAGCTGTAGCTCCTCTTAGCAGTCGCTAAGTAGCTTCCACGTCTTTTTACCACGTGTGTGAAACATCACTGCACGATCAGATAGAAGCACAGTGCTGTATGGTTTGTAGGTCTTTGTGCTTTAATGTATTCCAGCAGACGGTGGGTGTGTCCCTAGCATATATGTGGTGATGTTGTGTTTTTGTCTGCCCTGCTTGTTGCATTTTTCAGCCAGTTAGGTATGATGAGCAATGCCATTCATGTGGCTCTACTCACTCTTTGTCACACTGCACATGAGGTGGTAGAGAGCGATGGGGAACAGTAAGGGTCTGCTTTACAGTCACTCCCACAGCTAGGTGTTGTGCTGGTGCTTGTGTTAAGACCCACCACCCCAGTTCTCGGGCTTTTCTCTTTGTGCCACTGAGACACTGAGTTAAGGACTAACACTGATGGTGCTAAGTTATCAAATTTGAGGAAGAGAAAATCTTTTCTACAACTTGTTTAACCTCTTCTTAACTTCAAACTTTCTCATCTGTAAAATCAGGCCAAAAAGTATTGTATATAGTACTGTATAAGGTGCTTATGGAAAGTAAATGAGAGTACATTGAAGGTCACGTAGGAGAGCCAGAAAGAGCCCCACCATTGTGAGATGCAGCAGGTGGCGGTGGCCCACTCCTCTTGACTGAAGTCATGGGGAGGACAGATCCTGCTGACATGACTTCAGCCTTAACTTCATAGAATTTCACATGACATAGGATTTAAGTCTTGTACTTGTTTTTGAAATACTGAGCATTTGGAATGTTTTGGGTTTTTCATTTTGGTTTTTTGCTTTAATTTTTCTTAAACTAATATAATTTTTCTCCCACAGGATTAGATTTCTTTCCTTTCTTGTCAGGAGACAATCAGGTATGTTATCAACACATTACTATTGTTTTAATTGTTTATTTAGAATGTTTAAGACAGTAATATGGAGCCAGGAAAATGAATGTTTCCTTGTAAAGTACAAAGGAACATACTTATTATTGCTCTGTCTTTAAGAATCTAAATAAAAATCTACTTTTAGTAGGATTCTTGACCAGATACAGTCATGTACCACATAATGACCTTTAGATCAAGCACAGATCCCATATATATAACAGTGGTCTCTTAAGATTACACTGCAGCTGAAAGATTTCTGTCACCTTTTGACACTATAGCCCTTGTAATGTCATAGCACAACACATTGCTCACCAGTTTATGGCAGTGCTGGTATAAATGAACTTGTTGTGCATCCAGTGGTATAAAAGCTCCTGCAATTCTGTATAATCCACGACCCTTGATAATAGATAATAGATGAGTATGCTAAAATTTAGTAAGAAACAGTCTGCCGTGTTGCACAGCAGCTCATACAGCTCTTCTTTACTGCATCTCTTGATTGCATTACTTCCCTTTGTGTTGATGTAATTTCAAGTTGTTATGTTCACATGGCCCATAAGCATACAAAATGTACTGCTAATGTTGCCAGTGAGAGGGCATATCAGGTGCTTGACCTGGAAATGAAATCCAGTGATTAAGGGGACTAGGAGATGCTGCTCAGTGGTAGAGCCCTTGCCTAGCATGCACAAACCCCTCGGTTCAGTCACCAGCACTGAAAATAGAAAAATTAAGGACCATGGTTATGAAATATCAGTGATGGTTAGTTATTGCTGGCTTGGGCATGACCCATTCCACCCTAGCTGCTAACTTGAAGAACAAGAATAAAGTGACAGAAGCCATCTGCTTCATTAAAGACAGCGAGACTAACAAAAACTCAAGAAGGGTCTGTATCCAACATGGAAAAATATCTGAGGACCTGAATTAAAGTCCAAACACAGAAGCACATCCCTCTCAGCGCCATGAAGATCACCACCAAAGCAAGGTTGAAAGAAAAAGCTGGGCCCCACTACAGTGCTGCATTCACTGCTGGCTCACTCTGGCTGATTTACCTCATGCATGATGGTCCCGCTTGTGCCACCACGGGACAGTCATGCGTGTGCCACCAGTGGTTCAAGCCATCCAGCAGTGAGATGTATGGATTACGGCCCCGATGTGAACATGTTAAAGACTAGATAACGGTCTTGCTCAGAAGCAGTGTTGTAAGCAGCAAATCCAAACTCTCTGTGGTGTGGCAGAGCGAGGACTCTTCAAGCATGTCTGTGAGCATACATGGCCAGTACACTGTGGGAGCCATAAAACGTCAAGAGTGACTCAGCTCCCTTCCAAATGCTCTTCTGAATTTTGGGGCCATCAAATGAAGCAGTGTTCAAAGAATAACATGTTTTTGGAGATTTTGCTTATTGTTAATAATGCTTCCGCACATCCTCCTTTTATTGGTCATCTTCCTCCCGATATAATTGCAGTGTTTCTGTCTCCAAATAACACCTCTTTGATCCAGTAGATCGAATATTAATAGCAGCTTTTAAAACGTACCACTTGAGGAGAACCTTCGCCCAGGTTAATGCTGCAGCTGAGAAAGACACTGAGAAGACACTGCAATTGTAGAAGGATTAGATTTATCTGCATCAAGAACCTCACTTAGGGACTGGGGCTGTAGCTCAGTAGTAGCGTGCTAATGAGTGTTAACTCCCAAGTTCAGTCCCCAAAACCACCAATTAACAGAAATCCCTGAGAAGTGTGTGAATGGCTTCTGGAAGAAGATACTCTGGGCTTGTCTTGACTTCAGAGATTTGGCACAGATACAGAGGTTGCCCAAACCAACAAGGCTGTGAATGATCAGTGGCAAACCATGTTAGCCTGAGTGTGGGTTGGGGTGACATTGGGGACCCTCCTAGACAGGAACCTTAGGAAGTGACGAATCAGGAGTCTGGAACTGGAACAGAAACGCGCCACTGAGAAGAGCCACAGGACGTGGAAACTGCAGGGAAAGAAAAAATCCATAGTGATGCTTCTTGCAATTCTCTTAAGGTCCTTAAGTTTTCAAACATCAGTTCAAACACTTAAAGTTCATTTATAGAGAAGGATCTCGTGGCACATTAGCGGCTGTGATGAACAAAGGGAACACACCAAGCAGAGCATCACCGGCATAATTCTGAAGAGCAGCACCTGGTCAGGAGGAGCTGCAGGCAGGGTTGAGCCACAGGAGAACACTGGTAATCTGGGGAGACACCAGCATGTGTATGATGTGCCGCAAAAATCTTCCAGGGGACAAGATGTGGGACAGAAGATAAAAAAAAGTTAAAGCTTATAGAATAAGAATATAAGGAAGTAATTTTGTACAGCTATGCAATGTGGTTATGTTTTAGGCTATGTTATAAAAATAAACTTTAAAAATATAAAAGCTTTAAAAATTACATTAAGCTAAGGTTAATTCATTATTGAAAGAAAAGTGTTTCAGGGCTGGGGATTTAGCTCAGCAGTTCAGTGGCCTGCCTTGCAAGCGCAAGGACCTGAATTCAATCCCTGGTACCAAAAAAAAAAAAAGAAAAATGTTTTAGGAAAAATGAATTCACTGTAGCCTAAGTGTAATTTTTATAAAATCTTCCGCCTTCATATTCACCCCTCATTCACCCTGCCTCATCCGCAGCACCTTCCAGTCTTTCTACATTGTGCACATTAAGTGCCCTGTGCAAGGCACTGGCTTGTTTCCTGTGCAGATACAGATGCCCGACCATGTGTTCTAGTTGCTGGCTGTATGTGGTGCAGCCATGTGCCATGCAAGTCCACAGCCTACGAGTAGGAAGCTGTGTGCCTGGGTTTTTGTGAGCACTCTCTGTGGTGGTCGCACGACAGTTGAGTCACTGAACAGTTCTCAGACCCCATCTCTGTCCTTGCACAGTGCAGGACTCTCTGAAGAGCAAGTGGGTGGGCTGTCCTGATACTTCTAAGCCTGTTGGAAATAAAAAAGAATTGTTTTCAGTACAAATTAAAGCAAAAAAGTTTTTAAAATTCCAGTTTCAGATGTGAAAATGTCGGTCAAGATTGGCAATGCAGCCGTTTATACTAGGCCATTTGATTTTGCAAAATGTCCTTTAACTTCAGAAACAAGATATGCTCAGTGTATATTGAATTTGGGACTTCAATCTGCCAAGAAGAAAATGTGCTCCTTTGTGTGTGTAACAGCTGCCTTGTCCTGTTCCCTCCCCAGCATTACAACACCTCCCTGCTCGCCGCTGCGGCCGCCGCGGTCTCTGATGACCAGGACCTGCTGCACTCGTCACGCTTTTTCCCATATACCTCCTCCCAGATGTTCCTTGACCAGCTCAGTGCAGGAGGCAGCACATCCCTGCCAGCCACCAATGGGAGCAGCAGCGGCAGCAACAGCAGCCTTGTGTCTTCCAACAGCCTGAGGGAGAGCCACAGCCACACAGTGGCCAGCAGGAGCAGCACAGACGCGGCGTCCGTCTTCGGCATCATACCGGACATTATCTCCCTGGACTGAGCCCTCGCCCACTGGTCCTGCCCTGTCCTGAGGGATTCAGCTGGCAGGAAGAAGAGAACTTTATGCTGTTTTACCTTATTCTGTTTAGAAAAGTTCACAAGTGTGTTTTTTTTTCCTTTTTTTAGGGAAAAAATTAAAAGAAATGTACAGAGAACAAAACTATATTTTCAGTTTTACTTTTGTATATAAATCTAAGACTGCCTGTCTGATAAAACACTTGTTTAAAAAAAAAAAAAGAAAGAAAAGAAAAAACAAGCATCCATAAACCACCTTCAGTTCATTTTTTCTGGATTCTGAAGATTTTTTTCCATCATGTGTCCTATGGTTTTGGTTTTATTTTACTTCAATGGCATTATTTTATTTGCAATAACAAAAAGAATTGCATGTATGAAGTTTTAAATTTGGGGCTTTGTTGTGGGGAGGGGGTAGGGAGATAGTTTGATTTCCATTTTTTTAAGATGACAGACTTGCATTTTGTTTGTTTGTGTGTGTGTGCATAATTTTATCCAACCTTAAGTTATAAATCTCATCTGTCCCACTGCATTCCCTATGTATTTTCAGGACATAGCTCATGGGTATGCGTGTTAAGTGTGTGTGTTTGTATTTTTCTGTCTTTACTGTCCCTCCCTCCTGAGTTTGCATTTAGTTCCTCTATCAGTTGCCTGCTTCTTTTTAAAGTGCTTTGAAGGTCTTGAACTTACATGTGAGTATCTTAACAACTACCCCAGTTGCATGTGTCCATGACATATTCTCTCTGACTTGCTATGTACCCCCTGAGAATATGCTTTCAGGATATTGGAATAATGCTGTCTGGGTAAGGAGTAGGCCTAACAGACCTGTGAGTAATACACTTTAGCCTAGTTCGTAATTCTAAACCTAGATTGCCAGTATTGTGTATTTAAACCAAGTCTGTGAATACCTGCTTTTTTGGCCACAGGGTAACAAGTTTTCATGTAAGATCTCATGCCAAAGTAGGAAGCAAAAATAGCCTAGAGAGCCCTGTTGGGTGTCTCGTACAGCTGACAGAAGAAAGATTATGTCACAAAGTAAGAGAGACGAGTCAGTTATCCTAAAAGTTAATTCTTTTTGGAAATACAGTGCACCACACATGTGGATCTATTGAAACCTACTATTTGATAATCAGTTAAAATTTAAAAGAGGTTTAAACCTCAGCCATTTTTCTTCTCTGGTTCTTAACTTCTTAGACTATGTACCTTGCTTATTTTTATACCTTGTTTATTTTGTCTTCATCTTTTAATGACAAGCATGACATAGGAAAGTCTTTTTTTTTTTTGGTACTGAGGATTGAACTCAAGTCCTTGTGCTTGCGAGGCAGGCAGCGGAACCACTGAGCTAAATCCCCAGCCCCGGAAAGTCAATTTTTTAAAATTCGTGGATCAGTCTTAATAGTGGAACATGTAAATATATTGAAAGCTGTTTTTCAGGAAATAAGGGTTGAAGGGAAGGAAAAATGGTTCTATTGTGTTACAGAATCCTCATCAGAGATGATACTACATTCTCAGTTGTGGGAAATATGCTTCAGTTAATTGAGAGTACAGGTTTAAGGAAAGATGAAGGAGCATAACGATTGCCAGTTTTCTAGATTGGATTTTTTCTGTCAAAGCTGTTAATGTTCTGAGTTGATGAAGGATCACCTTTGCGTATAAACTTGTCATTTGAAACTTTGCCTTGATAACAAAAAGACCTACTTAATCTGGGTAGAATTTAAAATGGCTATATCTTCAGTTGTATGATAAAATTAATGGTTCACATGACTGTGTGGTGTCTAAAAATAATATCTTTTTACAGCAATCTGTTACTAAATTGTTGACTTGAATTTTGAAAAAAAAGTTGGTGTCGATGTATATATGTGTGTGTGTATATATGTATTTATAAATAAGTGCGTGTGGGTAACAAGTGCGTTACATAGTCTTCCCCTGTGCATGTGTATTCCACACATCAATGGCCAAGTTATAGTCACAAAACAATTTGCAATAAAAAAAAAAACAGGTTCATTGTCCGTTAAAACAGGAAATAGTTAAGTTTTTAAATGAATCTGGTGTTGTGTAAACACTTCAAAAAGTCTTACTGTCATACTAATTTAGGCTAATTTCAAGTAGTATCATAATTTGTGTCTAAATTTAGACTGGGATAGAAATTACTAAAATTGTGGAGCATATTTTTTCTGATTTTTACATTGCTATAGAAAACTTATATTCAGCTACCTAAGATAAAGTGATAGTTCCTTTTTTTTGGTTTTTGTTTTCAGTCATTGTTAGTGGTCTGAAAATTCTGATTAATAACCTCATGTACAATGCTGAATTAGCAGCTCTTTGAATGATCCAGTCAAAAACCCATACCTTTACTTCTTTCAGCCCAGTTCTGGGGTGGGGCAGCTTAATCTGCCTCCATATCCTGCATTATACCGACCCAAGGGAAGAATCGGTAATAGGGAGAAATCATTGTCTGTCCACTGGCTGTGATCATGACCCCACGGAGACCTGACCATTCAGTAGTCATACTTTGTTCATTCCTTCTATGAGGAGTTCCTGCTTCAGTTGTTGATTTTCTAAAGTGTATGAATTAATAGTTATCCTTGTGTTGGTATCACGGTCCATAAGAGTTACTCAGACTTTCATGATCTGTCATAATTTTCAGTTGAGTCGTGTACTATATCTAAGTTTTTAAAAAAAGCATGTAGTCACTTTCTCTCTTTTCTTCCTTAGCCCACCCTCACTCCCCAGCCCAGGCTGACATTGCTGTGCTCTCTGTGGACAAAGAGCGATTCTCAGACTCTAGGCAAGTTGCCAGCAGCCCCGTGGCCTCAGTCTTTCATAATAGTGTGCATATGTTCGTATTTCTGTACAGTACTGCTGTGTGCGTGTGTGTATGTGTGTGTGTATCTTTATGCACACAACAATCAGCTGACTAGCAGGGTGGACATGGCTTTGATTCCTATGTGGGCATTATTGGACACCTTTTAAAAAATATAGTCTGAAATTTAATCATGCCAAATACTTGGTTGACTAGTTTATTATGACATAAAGGTTTCCTATTACTAATTTAGACTCATAAATTCACCATCATTACTGACTTAAGATTTACTTAAGTTTCTGAAAAATGTTTTTTTTGGTAGAGTTTCCTTTGAGACAGTATGTGAAGTTAAAAATATATTCCAGTTGTAAATTAAGTGTGGAATGAACATTATTTTGAAAGTTTCAATTTTAAATACATAAAACTTACAGGATCTTCAAGGCTTTAGAAAGCACATTTGAATTTATTTTAGTAATTGTTTTATCAATACATGTTGACTTTTTTTTTTTTTCAATTAAACACAATGCTTAGATTTCAGAAAGAGGGAGGGAGAATAGCTGGTGGTCCCAGAGTGTGCTGCTGTTGTTTAATTAACAGGGGGAAAATGTACATAAATAGATATAAAACTTACCATAAATTCCATGAACTTAAATCTGTGATTCATTGCCTTAAAACTTTCTCTTAGAATTTCCATACCGCATGCCAAACCAGTAAAATGGCTTTTAAAAATGTATAGTAGACCAATGTCAGTTTGTATAAAAGTTACCAAGTGAAAATATTTATTACATGCATTGAAAAAAATTGTTTACTTATTGAATGTTACCTGTTTATGTAGAGCTCTTTAGATGTAATAAAAGAAAAGCCTTCAGTTAATTTGTCTTCTGTAAAACAATATTGCTGGGGATCCAGGGGAACAGTCCCTGTGAGAAAGGTGGTAATGCGCTGTGCGTCCAAAGCCCCTTTCATCCAGAGATTTCAAAGCATGACAAGTACCTAATACTCTTGCACATGCTTTGAGGTAAGTGATTCACATATAAGCCATCATTCCCCTTATTGTTGAAATATGGCTAGCTGTGTAATAAACCACAGCTTCAGTTTCACTTTGAATCCATTTAGTATCTACAGTTTGACTACAGAGCATTGTGGCTTATTTTTGTAAATAGCACAAGGTGCTAGGTAAACCAATTGGAATTTCAGGAATGAACATGAAACTAGGATAGGAGCTAAAAACCTCTCCTGGGGTTGTGAGGCCTCTCAGCCCACAGCCACTATGAGTCGGTGAAGACGAGTCCAGGTCCTAATGACCATCTCACACTGCGTGCCCTTAGCAAGCTCAACTTCAGGTCCCCTCTGGGCATGTGACACCCATAGAACTTGCTTTAAAACCGTATGTGGACAAGTCAGTGAGCTTATAGACATACTAAATTATTGAGGGAAAGCACTGCCATTTATTATTATAGCCAGAACTTCCTTTCGTGTCCTGTCTACCTTGTCAGAATCTGTCACCTGTGTGGTCTTTGGTATTCCAGGTTGGCTGTGCAAGATTTGCTTCTCATTGTCGTGACTGGAGTCAAAAAGAGTTGAGGGTCTGGGACCCTTGCCTGCCAGTGAAATCCAGCAGTCCTCAGGGAAGGCCCAGGTCTCCTGCGCCCTCAGCTGGATTCCCATGAAGGTAATGAAGATGAAGTATCACTACCCTCACTTGCTCTGGCCTCTTGAGGGTTTTGAGAGCAGTCCCAGACATTTTGTATCTCTTCCATTTTTTATTTTTGTTTGTTGTTGGTTTTTTTTGTTTTTTGAGATGGGGTCTTGCTGTACAGTTTAGGCTGGCCTTGAACTCAGTAATCCTCCTGCCTGTCTCCTAAATGCTGGAATTATAGGCCTGTGCCACCACACTTGGCTTTATTTTCATATTAAAGAAAGCTGCCAAGTTGTTTAAGCCTCAGATTCTATAAAACCTGGATCTGCCCCTGCACCTTCTAGATACAAGTCCCCAACTAGATGATAGCTTCACATAGTTGATATTTGCTGCTGAGTCCCAAAACCCTTCTGTACAACTCTTGGGAATTCCTGCTTACTCCCCTTGGCAGTAGCACTGCTGGCAGGGTTCTAGTTTACTTTCTGAGGACCTCAGTTTGACCTGAAGCCACACAGCAATGTTGCACTAAGACTTTTATGTTTGATCCCCACAGTGTCAGTACCTAGCTCTAGATTTGTGTCTTGCATAACTTCCCAGAGGACAGCCTGTTTTCTTGATTGGCTTCTCTTTAGCCATGAAGGCACCATTAGAGCTATAGTCAGATGTTGACCCATAAAAGGATAAAAATCCTTGGACTTGTAGCTTGCACCCACCCTCACTGGTGTACCCGCAGAGAGTGCACGGTCTGACCAACACCAGGCACCTCAGCTGGTTCTTCCTGGTGTGTAACTCTAGCCACTTGAGCCAGGGAGATTCCCAAGGCAGCTGAGTCTCCACTACTCTTTTGCAGGCCCCTTGTATGCTGGCCGTGGTCTGTTACCTACACTTGTTTCTCTCTTATACGTCATAGGGAAATAGCTTATCATCATGCCCAGCCCTGGTCCCCTGAGCAGACCAGCCTAGGTCCTGGGATCTCTGCCTGCTAATAGCCCAGCACATGGCTGAGAGGAACATTAGAAAGGCCCAGGCTCCTGTGTTGGGGCAAGGCATAAAGTCAGCTTTCTCTCTGCTCAGCTGCTGCAAAGTTCATCCTAGCATAAGCATCTTCACTACCATATGGATTAGGAATGTGTATCCTGAACTGTGTCGTCCTCCTGTTGAAGTGGAATTAAGAATTTCTATGTGGGCCCATGGTGCTGCAGGCTATGTCACAATAACCTGTGTTTTCAGTCTTTGGTTTTTGCTGGTTCTCATCTAGCACTGGTTTTGTCTGGAAAATGTAAAAGGTGGTTCCGAGTCCCCAGGATGCTGCTCTGGGTATGGCACTGCCCTTGTCTAGGAGAAGCACTGATACAGGAGCTGGGATTCCATGTGCTCTGCTGGGAGCCAGGGTACTTTCAAGTCAACATCTCCATTCTTCTTCAGTGGGCTCCAAGAGTGTAAGCACAGAAACCGAGCTTTTGTGAGGACCCTAAGGCTTTGAGGGTGAAATGATCTGCCCACACCACACAGCTGGGAAGTAGCAGAGCCAGGACTGCATGAAATTTGGGCTGGGTTCCAGGCTGCAGGTACTTTCCACACAGTAAAGTCCAGGCTAATGGCAGTTATGAAAATCAATGCAAATGTTTTATTAAAGACATGCCAATACCACAACTGAAATCATTTATTGCCAGTTATCTCGTGCTACAGGAGGGTAATGTCATCCTGTTGCTGTTTGTCCTCACCCTAGAGTGAAAAGAATACTTCCCTTTTTAAAAATTAATCCGTCTAGGTTTTCAGGCCCAGAGAGACGCCTTTGCACACTGTGTGTTCAGTAGTCTTGCACAGGAAGGGTGATCTTCTGGATAAATTCATCATACTTCACTTTGCCACTTGGCTTAATATCTGCTTCTTTGAAAAGCTCGTCCACTGCAATAAATCATTTTAAGCTTTCAGTTTGGATTTGGGGTTATAATACACAGAATTCTTTAGGGGCTGGGACTCCCGAGGGGTATTCCCTGAGCATTCAGCAGGCAGTTCCTGTGGATCAGGAAGTAAACAGAAAGCAAGACAACCTGACCACTGGCTCAAATTTTTGAACTCCCTTTGGGAACAGTGGTGGCATAGGGCAGTATAATTGGTGATTCCATCACTGGAGTCTCCCTGTACTTGCCTTAAAAGAGATTCTCTGACCTTGGTGACTGTATTTATTGAAACCTTTCTGGCTTGCCACAGTGCTCCTCTTGGCCCCCCAGTGATGTGGCTTCCGCCAGCCCCGGCTTTGGCCTGGTCTCACCTTCCTGACTCTCCCCAACCAACAGCATTACTCGGCACCCCTGCCTCCACACCAAGAGAGGACTTGGCAGTAAGTGGTATCTGCTGCCACTGCCTCCCTGGAGAAACAGGGTAAGAACTGGTGATACAGCTCAGATGTGGAGCACATGCTTTGTATACATGAGGACCTGGGTTCAAGCCTCAGCACCAATAAAGAAGAAAAAGTACTTTGAAAGAAAAAAATATCCAACTGTGTCTAAATTCCAAAGCTTACAAAACTGCCATTCTGCATTGCTCAGAACAACAACAAAAAAATCACTTTATTTGCATGTTTCTTCTGGTTGTGGATTCTTGAGACAAAATACTACCATGTCCCAAGCAATGGCAAGAAGCGCCACTTTAGCTTGCCCATTTCCTCAGTGACCACTTGGACCAACCTAATTTGGCTCTTTGGACCATCTTCACCCTCCTGCAAAAACTGTCTCACTGCCCTGTGTCTGTTTGCTGGCCCTGGACGACGCCACATGTAATTCTGGGCGTTGAGAAAAGAGCTTTGATTCTGCCCCTTAGCCTTCCTCGAAAGTGTAATTAGTACGCTGTGTGCTGAGCTGATGATGGCTTTGAGTAATTTTAGGATGTCGAGACTGATCTATTTTGTGGCCAGTTTGTGACCAACCTGTGCCACCTCTTCCTGTCTGAAAAGGGCAGCACTTCATAGCCCAGGTGTTGGGGCTGAAGATGCCTTGGGCTTCTCATCTCAGAGACCCCTGGAGCAGCCCGTGTTCTAAAGTCACCTTGTCTCAGGCCTCAGAGGAGACCTCCCCTGCAGCCTTCTCTGCTGCTCCAAGAATGCTTAAGAAAACTCTTTCAGTCACCCAGGATAGAGAATTCCTACTCTGTCATCCTTTCTGTTTCCACAGCCAAATGGAGGGAAATGTTCTCGCACATTGAATAAATGGGAGATGTAAGTGTGGGGGCCACTGTGTTGCTTTGGACAGAGATCATCAGCCACCGGAACACAGGCCACCCTGCTCCTGCCTTGCTGTTGATGCCTCACCTGGTGCAGAGGAGAAGTGTCCTCGGAGCCTGAGAAGCGAGGACAGCCCATGTTTTCTCTGATCACATGAAAGATGAGCCATAGCTGCCAGCCCAGGAGAGTGGGGGAGAGGAATCTGCCTGCTGTGGAGCCCTCGCTATTTTTAAACACTGCCTGTGGCTTTGTGAGCAGCTGGGGTGGAATGTTAACTCTGGGCCTACAAGGATCAGCTGGTATGACCTTGTTTCCAGCCAGGCAACCGAGGAGGGTAAGAAACTCACTTGAGGTCCCTGAAAGAGGACAGCTACTATTAAACCTCATTCAAACAGCAACCTGGGGGCTGCTTGGGTGGTTTGTTGTGATCTGAAAGCTAAAGATCCTTCCTGAAGCCTTTTCCCTGCATTTACTTGTGGCCAAGTCTGGCTTCCCAGCCCGAGTAAGGCAGCCTAACTGGAAACCCCAGGAGACAGTGGACAGGGACTCTGAGGCAGGAGAAGGGTGAGCTGTGTCCCCTGTGGGCTGGAAAACACCTCAGTCTTCCTGGAGGAGCATCTTGACACAGGAAGGGCAATGGCCTGCTGAGGTTGGAGGACATCTATTAGACCCACATTCAGCTCCAGCTCTGCTCCCCCACAGCCACTCACTCTGCCTCTTCCCTCATCAGTTGGAGGAGACGTGTGCACTCTCCAAGTGTCCTAGGCACTAAGTGAAGGTCTGCAGCAAGGGCTCGGACACAGGAAGAGGCTTGGTGGACTCTGCCACCCTGAGCTCCACTCTGACCGGTCTCGCACTGGAGCCCAGCCCCTGGCTACCTAGCTGGACCTCTGCTCCTTGGCTTTGGGGTCAGATCAACTGCCATGGTCTGTTCACCCTGGTGGCATTGATGGGGCTTTGGTGTCCTCCCCAGCCCTCTTCAGCTGTCGCGAAACAAGGCCACACTGTTACCTTCCTTCTGTGTGAGCTTCTCCCCCAGCTTCATAAGTTTTGATTGCAGCTCAGACGCCATGATGTAACCTTTCTTTTCTTTATCTGCCATCAACATGGCCAGAAGAATTTCTTTCTTTGGGTCCTCTTGTTTGATTTGTGTGTGCATAATGGTCAGGAAGGTGGAGAAATCTAGCTCTCCATTTCTATCTGTGGAAAACAGCAGAGTGGACAGGGAGGAAAGGTTCTTGGGGAAGCCAAGTGGCCTCCTACCCAGCTTTTGCAGTAAGTTCCAGGGCCACCTGACTCAGGGAGTACTGTGGTGGTGGCAGCGGTCATGGTGAAGAGGATGTAGCACCTAGAGTTCCCACATGGGTCACTCACTGGGCTGGATAGCCTTTATTTTTTCCTTCTGGTGACCATGGTTTTTAGCCCCCCTTTTGCATATTAAGGGGATAGGTCAGAGTGTAGAGTCACAGCACCACAGGATGGACCACCTCCTTTGTCCTATCCTGTGCTCCTCTTCCTGTACTCCCCTCCCTCAATAAGCTGGAAGGAAATGGGTACGTATGGCCACCAAACCACAGTCTTGCCTCACTGCTCACCAGTCTGACCCTCCTGTGCCTCTGCCCCAACCCTCTGGGCGTGCCTCAGCCCAAGCCCTGGCCCAGCTGCTGCCACAGGAAGCCGGAACTTCCTGTTGGGAGGAGACAGAAACCAAGGAAACCACCACCTCATCTCTGCTGGAAGTGATCTCAGGTATCAAGCCACTGAGGCCCCAGTCACTGGCCTCTGGCTGTTAAGGACCTGCCTGGGAAGGGCTGCCAGCACTGGTATGTGACCTCCAGCAACCCTAGCCAATGTGGGGCCCATCTGAGAGATAAGCGCCAGTTGGAGCTCTGGGCTTCTCCTTCTGATGGGCCAGTTCCTCCTTCCCCAGTGTCTAGCCCCAGTGCAAACAGCCACTGGCCTCTGACACCTCCCCGCCTTTAAAAAGCAAAACCAACCACAAGGCTTGTTTCCAGTTCTAAAAGTCCTACATATTCCTGCTGTTAAAAATGCAGAGAACAACAATGAAGTGAACAGAAATTGCCCTTAATCCAGAGAGAACCCCTTGGTAACATGCTGATGGTTTTCTTCCAGTTCTCTAGCATTGCTGTGTCATTTCTAGGTCAGTCTTTGAATTCAGAACTGGGTTCCAGGGCTGGGGATTTAGCTCAGAGGTTCCAGTGCCTGCCTCGCAAGCAAAAGGACCTGAGTTTGATCCCCAGTACCAGAAAAAAACAGAACTGGGTTCCAGTCCTGGTTCCAGTCCTGGTTCCACTGTTGGCTCAGGACTCAAGTTACTGAATGGCTCTGAGCCTTGATCTTTGCCTGTAAAGTGGGAGGGCTGTTTTGACCACATCACCAAAGGGACATTTGCCTACGAAAAACGACATTGGACAAGCAGGTTAACTTGTCCTGCGGTAGACTCATGGGACACCCAAACTCAGGTCCCCTGGGACATGGGTGTCCGCAAGACCACTCACCTATTGCGTGTGTCTTCAGGTGCTGCTCCACCTCCCCTCGAGTGGGGCTGGCCCCCAGGCACCTCATGGCCATCAGGAGGTCAGTGGCTTTGATATTCCCCCTCTGCTGCTTGTCATACAGGGAGAAGCATTCTTTGTATTCTGTGCACAGCCCAGAGGGAGAGTCGGTCACTGTCTGCGTTTACAGACTCGAGGGGAAAATCACCTAGAGTCTGAGCAGGGCCGGCTCACAGCTGCCTGGGGCGCCTGACCACTTAGAGGTGAGCGGCTGTGGAGCTGAGGCACTCAGTGCGCAGTTGGGCAACCAGGTGGGAGCTCGGCGTGCTGTATTTGCTGCTGATTTATGGTTCCTACTCAGCCAGGATTTGACAGGTGAAGCCAGCATGCAGCTTGCCTTGTCAAATCGTGACAAAAGAATGTTGCCCTCTCCAGTGAATTGGAATTGTCCTGTCATTAGATCTGAGGAGTGATCCACCATTTAACTATTTCTCACCCTGGTACAAGTTAGATTCATTAAGTTGAAACTTGAAAACCTTTAGCATTGCTGACCCCAACAAGGCTGTCTTCTTAGATTTAGGTACAGATTGTTTGGACCCAAATTGTTTAATTCTGGCTTTTCCCGCCAGAACTCAGGGCCATCAGCCACCAGATGCCCCCACCATTTCTGCACTCCAGCTCAGCCCCTTCTGGGCCCCCTGTTCTGTGCAACCCGATTCTGATTCTCCTCTTAGCTTTGCAGAATAACTCTGCACTGCTCAGAACTGCAGGACCTAGAGAAAAAAGTGCTCATGCCCAAGCCAGGAAGAGGGGACCCCAGCTGACCCCCATTTGACACATAGGGAGACTGAGGCCCAGAGAGGTAGATCCTGCCCAAGGGCACAGACATGGGCCCCCTTTTTTTTTTTTCGTCTCTGCCAATTACAGAAGTCTCCTTTGCCCCATTTTCAGCCATAATGTTAAGGTCTCCAGTCTGCCCCTCTTCCTGCCGGAATTTGGCGGCACCCTAGGGAGCGCTTTCTTGGGACCTGGCTTGTAACCACACTTGTGGCCACAAAGCCAGCAGCCCCACCATGGAGCTCACCCTACCCAAGAGTGCCAGCATCCCTGCTGCAGCTGGCCCAGTGCCCCTGGGCGGCCAGGCCTCCCTTATGCCTTCCTCCCACCCACAAACAGAAAAGGAGTGCACCAAATTACCAAATGAGACCCATATTTTGCTGGTGGGTGCTAATTAAGGAGCAAACAACCTACCGTTAATTTGGTCCTGGGAAAGAAACTTGGCCTGCAGTGGAGAGAGGAAGAAAGTAAGGGACGGACACCGTCAGAGGCCCTCCAGATCCCACTGATGACACAGATGCCCCCTTACCATCTTGGGGCTCTGGCTGTTCAGAACCGTGCTCTCTGTTCCTCTCCTCTGGCTTCAAGTCGAAAGTCCGCCAAGGTGGGTGGAGACCGGGTAATAAACCTCCGGCTGCCATGGAGACCGGGCCACCACCACCACTGGGTCAGATTCCAGCTTCCCTGCACAGCTGAGGCCCTGCTAGCCTGGCCATCTTGTTTAGGAGGAAATGGGGCCGAAGAAGGCCTCTTCCAGGTCTCAGGTCCCTGCCTCTGGGGCTGATCCTCCTCAGCAACCAGACGAATGCCTCTCTTCCTTCCTGGGAGCCTTGGACTCTGAGCAAAGGTCAGTGGGGCCCAGAAAAGTGGGGTGGGCCTGCCTTGGGGAGCTTCTCTCTCCCTGGGCTCAGCTGGGGCACCAACCAGCTCCTTGGTGCAGTTGGGCACTGCACAGTCCTGCTGAAGCCTTATCACCCTATCAAGGAAGGGATGCTGTCCAGGGGCCCAGCTCCAAGTCTCTTTCCTCACAGCCTGGGGGCCGTGTCCTGCAGGAGCACCGGCCTTGGGCGCTCAGGCTGGGACTCAAACCCTCCCCCTCCTGTTGATGGAAGTCATTGCACGTTCCTGTGCCTCAGTCCTCACCAGTCCACATCACACAGCTGCGGAGAGAATCTAACATCCGCACATAGCTGGTTCTCGGTCTGTGCCAGTTGTTCATGGACCCCAGGGCTGGCTCTCCAGCCCCACAGCCAGAGGTTCTGTGGATTCCCTCCTTCTTCCTTCCCCTTCTGCCCACACTGCTGACTCCCAGCTTCCTAAGCAGCTAGTGCTCTCCCCTCCCTCACAAAGGCCAGGGGCTGGGAGGGACACGCTGGGTGCTGGGCACCACGCAGTTCTCAGGCTTGTCCCCTGTCCCTCACCTATGGCTGGTGGCTGTCATGCTCACTTGCTCAGGTCGAACCTAGCCAAGGGGATGGATACGGTGCTGGGGAGGAGCAGCAGGTTCCAGTGGCTGCAGTGTACAAGGACAGCGTGCAGACAGGGTCCTGCCCTGGTCCCCTCCAGGCTGACTTCCTCCCTGTGGGAAGGTCTCTTCTCCCAGGGTGCTGCTGGCCTTCACACTGATTCTAGATTCAGGCTTTCCATTGCAGGTTGACTCCTCCCTAGGCGTTGAGGCTGGAGGGTCTCCATTGGCACAGTGTGGGAGGCAGGGCGTTGCCCAGGGCTGGGAGGAGAGGGACGCTAGGGGAGCGAGCCAGTGAGGCCTTGAAGGGCCCTGCTTTTGGGACAGGCCCAGGGCCAATAGAAAACACCTGGGTGGGACAGTGGCTACAGTGTACCGTGTGGATGCTGTGTCTCTGCAAAATGAAACAAAACAGACAACACTTCAAACACCTTCCATGACCTGGGCGCCCGGCACCTCCCCAGGCACAGCCTGGATTCCTCAGGACCCATTAACCCTGTCCTCACCCCCGCCATGGGAAGGGTTTCCTCCCGGAGGGAAGAAGCTCCTCCATTCTCTGGCGCAGGCCACTATAAGGTTCCCAAGTAGAGACCCTGGGGACCCCGACACACGAAGGCTTTTCTGGAAGGGCTCTGGGCTCCTGCTCCCAGCCTGTGCCCCATGCCCACCCTCCCCTGGAGTGCAGGCAGTGACTTTCACCCATTCTGTGCAGTTCCAGAGCCGAGCTCCACCCACCAGGCCTTGGCTCGTCACATAATCAGGGTAACAGGGCAGGCCCTGGGTCCCCAGAGTCTACATCTCAGCACCTTCATGTGTACCTACTGGGTGAAGGGCACCACGGTAGCCTCAGAGCCTGCTGGCCTCTACTCCTGCCCTGTGCATCCCGGAACAAGACTGGTGAAGCTGGAGCCTTCGTGTCCCCAGAATTCGTGGCCACTTGGGACCTGCGACTGACAGTATTTAGAAATTAGGGTCACTGCAGATGTAACTAAGATGAGTTTGTCATTGGAGAAGGGTGGACAGAGGCCACCTAGTGACCGAGGCAGAGATGGCTGGGGGCACAAGCATGGGCTGCCAAGGTTTGCCTGTGTCCACTGTCCCAGGAGTGGGAAGAGGCAGAGAAGGGTCCTGCCCTGGAAGCTGTGCAGAGCCTGATCCTGACAACACCTTGATTTCGGGCCTTGTCTCCAGGACCAAGGGGACAAACCACTGTGTTTTTCTGCCACCCAGTTGGTTGCACTTTGTCATAGCAGCCCTAAGTGGACTCATGTAAGGCCCCACACTTGACCTGGGTGTGCTAGGTCACAAAGTGAGTGTCACCCACAGATCTCCTCAGATGAGACTTGGGAAATCTGCGTGGCCCTGAGATGCGGAGTCTGCCCCAGTTCCTGGGTGAAGCCGACACTGTCAGTCTAGGGACCACTCTGAGCGGCTGGGGCCCACACCAGGACCACCTGGCCATCTCTGGGGTCCTGACATTTTCCTTTGCCATCCTGGTGACATCACTGACAACCACAGACACGTGGTTTTCTGGGCCTATGAAGCCAGGCCGAAATCAAGACCCCTTCCTAGGTGATGTTCCCAGCAAACTGCTAAGGTCTTGCCTGGCTGAGAGGCACACAGATCTCCAGGGCTCTGATAATTTTCTTTTTCCCTCCCTTTCTAAATACCCACACTCATGCCTCAGTTTTTTAGTTTTCTTATGAGCGCTCCCCAAATGTATAACCTCCCGGCCCCACCCTGCATATAGTTTATTTGTAGTTTAGTGCTTGCCTGGCTTGTATGAGGCCTTGGCTTTGATTCCCAGCACTGCAAAACAAAAACCACAGCCTCTGCCTTCTCCCAAAAGTAGTGGTGGTGTCCTTCCCTGCCCCCACCCAACCCACAGTCCCCAGACTCCAGGGCTAATGGGAGAAGATGCCCTCCGTGCCTCGCAGCCCAGGAACCTGCTCTTTGGCCAGCCTGGGCTGAGAGGGCTCTTAAGGCCTGCCCGCTTCACACCCAGTCAGAAACAGCTGCCAGCCAGGTTGGATGCCATACCCACTTTTATTCACACCTCACACCACCCGAGGTGCCAGGAGATGAGGACCAACCAGGGCCTGGAGAAGGATCCCAACAGGAGAGGGGAATCTGAGCCTGGGGCTCCCTGAGAGCACAGGAGGGGGCAGGGCAGGCTCCCGAGACTCTGGCCTTGGGTGCTGTGCCCAGCTGGGTAATAAGGCTGTGTGCAGTGGCTAGAGCGGGGAGGGGTCCTGGATGGAGGCCCAGGGGGAGGTGGCTGGTGGTCTGGGGAGGCCAAGGCAGGGGCCCTGTGCTGGGAGAGAGGCCTATTCTGGGGGAATATATTCTGGTAGAAGGGAATAGGTCCAGGTGGAGGTGGAGATCACTGGAGAGAGCCTCAGGGGGCCCAAGTCCTACAATGGACCTCTGAGACCAGAGCAAGGGTTTCTGATTTCAGGGCCAGCTCAAAACCTCACAGCAAGCCAACAGGAAGTGGATGCCACCATCCCTCCAAGGTAGAGGAAGCCCAGAGCCAGGCTCAGGCTGCTGTGGCTGGTGGTGACATGGACCTCTGATTCCCTGAGCTGGGCCTGGGCAAGGCTCTGGGGTACACATACTCCTAGTCTGGAAAAGGCAGTGACAGAGACACCCACTCTGGGACCATGGCCTGTCTAGTGCCGCTGAGGCCGAGAGAGATGTTTTGTTCAGCCACGTAGAGAAAGGCAGCATGCCTGGTAACCACGTGCCCAGGCTCAGGGTGGATGGAGGGAAAAACTGGACTTCTGTCCCTCGAGGCTCCTCTGCATGGCCACTGGAAGACGTCCTAGGCAGGCCAGTCAGTGCAGGTGGTGGGACTGGGGTTAGGGACCCAAGCAGTCAGGAACAGGTGCCAGGAAGGGCACAGATCTTGGCCTTAATGCGCTTCCCAGAATAAAATTCTATCTCTGAACGAGCTGAACCAAAGCAGTGGAGTCTTTCAGCAATGTACTCCACGTACGCAAACCAGTCCCCTGAGCAACACATAGCCTTGATGTCTCACATAGCCTTTGGTCCCTGGTGTACCCGCACGTGCCCAACTTGTGATGCCCACAGCCACCACTGCTGTCTCCCCACACAGAACCATGGGCCGGTGCAGGGGACTCAGTGCCCACTGCTAACATGGAGAGTGTAGAAGGCCCAGGGCTCAGGGATATAGATGACACCTGGGTACTTCTTCCTGAGTACAGGATCGTTCCATAGCCAGGCGACCCAGAGTACCACCAGCAAGAGGGTGAATGCAAAAGAATAGAAGAGGAAGAGGCCATTGCTGTCCAGGAAGAGCTGTCTGCGCTTCTGGTGTAGGACGAGTGCCAACATGGCGAAGAAGGTGAAGATGAAGAGGATGAAGATCTGACCCTCAGTGACCAGGTACCTGGAGAAGTGGTCACGTGTTGAGGTGAGGCGGCTGCCATGGTAACTGCCTCCTACCCAGCATCCCTCCCTAGACCCAGTGCTAAGCTGCCCTCCCAGTCAGAAGATCCGCCTAGTACGAGGCCCTGGTGGGCCACGCCACTCTAAGCCGCAGCCCATGGTGCCATATTGATTTGGCCTGCAGGGTGTTTACAGTGAGCTTGTTGCCAGTGTGTAAATGTCAAAATCCCTGACAACGTGGACTTCTGGTTTCTCTGGTCGCATCAGGATTCTATTTGCAAATATGACAGAACATGACTAAAAGAGAGATCTGCTGCAAATGGTCTGCCCTTGCTGTCTGCTTGATATATTTCACCTGCTTGCTTCCTGTAACCATTTGAGCTTGGGAGTGCAGCTGGAATTTACAGCAGTTGTCATTTCTGTCTCCTTGTAGCCTGGGACATGTCTCCGCTCTCTCAGAGACCCTGCAACGCCCCAGGCAGTACCACTAGGTGACGTGTTCATCTCCCTTCCTCTACCCAGAGCCGCAGTGCTGACCCATTCACTTGGGAGCCAGAACTCTGCAACTCTGTGGCACGTGCTGCTGGGGAGTACAGGTGAATGCTCCTTCTGAGGGCACGTACCTCTGGGCATTACAAGAGGCCCTGGGGACATCCCTTCCTGGAACAGCTTCTTGTCTGATAAATGGCTGGTGATGCTGTAGCTGTCACCTCGCCAACACATGAGGGGAGAGTGGGCAGGAAGCTGTGCCCAGGTCTCCTCTCTTTCCCACCTGCTGTCAGTGCCTCCATCCCTTTAATCTCGTTCTCAGGGAGCTCTCAGATCACCCCTGGTGGCAGATCCTAGAGGGGACTGGAGCAGGCCTGGGAAGAAGTCCTTCTCATGTTTGGGGGGCACTTCCCATCCCAGAAGTCCTCCTGTGACACCCAGAGTCCTGGGGGTGGGAGGGACGGAGCCTGGCTGACACCTGGGTCCTCTGTAATGCACAGTGGGGGCCGCAGGGGACAAAGTCTTCCGTCTGTCCTTGTCTTCTCCGTGCTGGTTTAGTTCGTAAAACCCCTTTCCCACCCGTAGCCCTCACCATCTCCTGAGAAAGGGACAGGCAGGTGTTTCCACCTCACAGAGGGGGAAACTGAGGCCCAGGGGACTGTCCAGGGCTTGGAGTGGAGGGGACTCTAAGGTGTACTGCGTATCCTTACCGCACTCCCACCCCTGCTATTCAAAGGCCCGGGGTTCCAGATCACAGGGAAGCCACTGCCAGGCACTGTCATGGTCCCCGGGCCCCAGGAGGAAATGGACCCAGAGAGGCTGGGCTCACTTGTGGCTACACCACAGGGCCGTGGTCACTGGATGCTTCCTTGATGGCTGCCTTAGTGCCCTGACCACCAAACGTCACTGTCACTCACCAGTAGTACAGGCCACTGGGTGCCACCAGCAGCAGGGCAGGCTTGGGCATGGCACTCTGGGCCTTGGAGGCGGTGAAACAGCCGCTGAAGTACATGACGAGGATGAGGAAGAAAGGGATGTACCTGCCGCAGGAAGCAGCGCTCAGAGGCCTGCCCAGTGGCCCGGGCGCTGCCTCCACCCAGGTCCCCTTGCCCACGCTGCTGCCTGGACCTTGGGTGAGGGGTGTCCCACTCTACCTGGCCTTTCCCATGCTGGGGGCCGAGGGGGCAGGGACAGAGACGAGGAGGTGAGGACTCACCACTTCCTGCCTGTCCAGTGTCCCCTCCCAGCCCCCCACCCCAGCTCAGCTTGTGCAGGGCAGGGGAATGCAGATCACACCCCCAGCCCAGGCTCTGGTCTTGGGAGGCTGGGCCCTCACTTCTGAGGTTCGCTCTGACAGCAGTGACAGCAGGTAGGGTAGAAGGAGCCCTGGGAGTTTTGAATGGGGAAGCACAAACCACTCCCCTCAACCTGGTCTGCTCTCATCTCAGCTTCCTGAGGGGAGAAGAGCACAGCCTGACCCAGGAGGAGGCTCTGCCTCCATCCCATCCCCAAATCATATCTGGGGTGGGGGGCGCTGTTCTCCAGGACTGCGCGGCCCCTGACCCAAGCTCCAGGCTTGCTTTAAAGTGGAATGACAGCTGCTTGTTGCCCTCTAGTGGCTGCCACAGGCACTGCGGGTGGGAGGCCAGGGGCGCAGGGCTGCAGGACACCAGCAGGGTCTGGGGTCAGGCTCATGGGGGCTGGGCTCATAGCACCCTGGCAGGGGACAAGAATGTTACTGCAGCCACTCCACTCAACACATGGAGACTTGGGCCGAGGCCCCGTGTTGTCAACTGCTCTTCTCTTCCGTCACTCACCACATGGAGTGGCCCAAGTACTCGTCATAGTAGTACAGCAACTCAAAGGAGTCAATCTGGGGGAGGCAGAGGTGTGCCAGGGTTAGAGGGAGGAAACAGGCTTCCCTCCTCCACCCATCCTGACTCCGGGCCTGCCCTCTACCACAGGGGTCCAGGGGAACACCATCACCCCAGGCGCCACAGTGCCCTCCTAGGACAGACTGCCCGTGGGCACCCAGGCCTCACCAGCGTCTCCGGCTTGAGGTTCTTGATGATGGGGTTCTCACGGACTGACAGGTGGTGCTGGTAGCCGCTGAAGAGCAGGCGGTGGTTGACGGAGTCACCCACCAGGTGGATGCTGGCGCCCATGATGAAGATGCTGATGCTGACGTAGATCACGGAGCGTGGCAGGGTGTGAGGGGACCGCTCGATGAGCTGAGGTTCAGAGCAGAGCGTGTCCCCGCCCATCACAGCACTGACAGCCTGCCCCTTCCTCCATGGGATGGGCCCCTCAGCCAGTCGGCCCACTCCAGAGCTTCACGGAACCCCACAAACCAGGGCCTCGGAGCAGCTGCCCCTTCTCTGGGGAGGATCGGACTCTGCACATCTGAGCTGCACGTGGGCCAGGCTGGCCCTCTGCTGCCCAGTTGGCCTGGGAGCTGGTGGCCTTCTCAGGGACCTGACTTCTCAGGACTGGCCCAGTGATCAGCAGACAGGAAGAGAATGCCGGCAGGTGCATTCTGGGATCACAGCCCCACTTTGGGAGATGGGAAATGTCTTTTTTATTGCCTGCCAGGCCTCCTGCATGCGAGGCAAGCACTCTACACCCAAGCCCTGAAATTCCTTCTTCCACCCCTTCCCTCACAGGGTTTCACTATGTAGTCCAAGCTGGCCTGGAACACAAATTCCTTCTGTCTCAGCCTTCCTGACGACAGGTTACCCCCCACCACACTCAACACTGAAATATCTTTTTCTTTTTTTTTGTACTGGGCATTGAACTTGGGACATGGCACTTGTGAGGCAGGTGGCAGAACTGCTGAGCTAAATCCCCAGCCCTGAAATATCTTTGTTAAAACGATGTGCACAGTAGATGACTCATAGTTTGCCCTGTGTCCACAGACCACATCTGCAGATCCAGCCAACCCTGGATGCAGCCAAAACACTGTGCCTTTTGTGAACATATAGTAACAGCTAGTGACACAGCGTACCTGAGAGACTTCCGCAGCTGCCTTTCCTACCACCTGTCCCGACTGCTCCCTGCACACCCAATCACTGCTGCCCCAGCCTCCCCAGTATTGTGTGCTCCCAAGGCGCAGTTTGTCCACAGCCCCTCCTGAGGAGCACCTCTCCCACTTCTCCTTCAGGCACAGGGGCCCTCCTGGGAACGTCTCTGTGCCCATGCACAGAGTAACCCCCTATGCCAACCACCCCACACTCAGGCAGGTGCAGGGCCACGACTGTACCTTGAGCAAGAGGAAGGGCGTGGTGACGTTGTAGGCCATGTGGAAGTAGTCACCGACGCTGGGCTTATTAAGAGGAAACCACTGGAGCGGGAACACCAGCTAGGGGCAAGAGGGCTCCTCAGCAGGCCGCCCACCAGGCCCCTCCATGAACGCTACCACCTGTGTCTTTGGGGGCCTCCCGGCAGCTACAAGAAAGGGCTTTCCCAGATAGGGAAACCGAGTCCCACAGAAGGTAAATGGCCTCATCTCAAGCAGTAAACATGATTTCCAGCCCTGGCCTCTTTACCAGGGATACCAAATAAATGTCTTTGGACTCCAGGAGGGTCCTTTGGGATTTGCAGAGAAGGTTACATGGGGACATGGGTGGGAATAGAAACTGCAGTTGTGGTTCTGCACACGGAGCCCCAACTCAGAAGGTCAAGGCTGCAAACAGTCTTGAGAGTCATCCGGTAACACTCTGGGAACAGTCTGTTTTGAGAAAGTACATGAATACCTAGAATCAGGTGTTCATAAAAATATTTTCTAATGCTTTTGCTTTGCTAGAGATCGTCTATAAGGAACTGTTTATTCTCATGGAAGTATTGTGCAAATATTTAATAAAAATCGAAGTTGGTGAGAGGTGGCTGCTTGTTTGCCTGTGAGAGCTTCAGCCCTCTACTCCTCGACAAAACTACATTCCTGCTGTCTGGCTATCCTTCATGTCCCCAAGGACAACAGGGATTTAGTTGTTCCATCATTTGCTGAGCAACCTTGACAAATCCCTCCCTGCTCCGGGCCTCAGTTTCCTCATCTGTAACACAGGAGAGGTGGCCCCAGTGGTCTACTAGGACCCTCAGGGTTCTGTCGCTCCAAGTCTCAGGTGGGGCTTTTGGAAGATGACTGGATCACAGGGGCTTCTAGCTGACTTCCTGTTAGGAAGCAATACCTGGTCACTGGGGCAGTGACCTGAAAGGTCAGGCAGGGCCTGAAAGGGTTTATCTCTCATGCTGCTCCCTTAGTTCTCTCTGCTTCCTGTCTGCCTTGTCCTGAGCAGCACCCCTCTGCCATAACCTTGTGCCATGCTTTCCTGCCTTTGAGCCAGCAGACTATGGAATGAAATGAGCCAAAATAAACCCCTCCTCTTTTCATTTGTGGGTGTTAGGTATTATGTCTCAGTGACAAGAAAAGTGACTAAAACAGATTTTGATACCACAGAAATGGGGTTGCTGTGACTATACCTGACCACATGATTCAGAAACCTTTGGAACTGATTTGGAGACACTGGCTGGAGAAGGCCTGCAATCCTGTAAGTCAAACTTGATGGGAGATTCTGGTCAGAGTTCAGGATACCAGAAACTGATAGAAATGCCGACAATAAAGGTCACGCACAGGTGGTTTCAGTTGGGAATAAAAAATCCATTGACAACAGAACTTGCCTATGTGTGTTATGTTCTGGCAGAATATTTGTCTATTTTGTTGGGGGCATTAGCCAGGTTTATACTGAAAAGCAAGATTAAATCCTATTTTTACAACTTTCAGTTTTGCGGGGGTGGGGGGAGGCATTCACAGAAATGGGGCAGAGGAGAGCTTGGTTGCTAAAAGATTAACATTAAAAAGAAGCTAAGGACTTTGGATCAGGACAACAGGAAAAATGGCTTATGGGCATGTCAAGAATCAGCAAGACCCCACCCTTCAAAGGTCCAAGATTGCAAAAATGAAAGATTGCCAGTCACGGTGTCACACACCTGTAATCCCAGCACTCAGAAGGCTGAAGCAGGAGGATCGCCAAGAGTTTGAGACAGGGTTATATGGTGAATTCAAGGCCAGCCTGTCTACATAGTGAGACCCTATCACAAAAAACAAACGGACCAAAAAGCACCAAAAAACAAAAAAAGGTGAAAGACTCTGCCTTGAGAAGAGAGTCCTAGGGCACCATGCTCCAGAATGGCAGCATAAGGCATTGACTCTCTGAGATTCAGTTCATAATGCTCAGCCATCCAGACTTTCAGCGGCCTCTGGGGCCATGGTACAAGAGAGCTTGGCTATTCAAGCTGAGAGCAGACCTTGGGGTCATCCACATGGAGCTGGTTTTACAGGCATGTAGAATGCAAGAGTTATGGGGTCAGGGAGGCTTGCACCCAGATTTCAGAAGGACATCTGGGAGGCCAAGCAGTGTGTGAAGCCAAAAGTGCAGTGGAGGCCCCGGATGTTAGAGAAGCCAGGAACATGACACATCTGAGGAAAGCCGTAAGAAGTGAACAAAGCCAGCTCAAGAGAGAGGCCACAGGGCTACCACCACTGGCAATGCAGCAAGGGCAGGAGTGCCCAAGCCCTTTGGAGTTCACATCTCCTCCTTATGACGTGCCTGGGTGCTGGACATGAAACTACAGGAATTAATTTTGCCCTGCTGGGTTTCAGTCTTCCTTTGGTCCCATTGCTTCCTATCTGCCTTGTCCTCCATTTTGGAATGGGAATGTTTATCCAGTGCCATTGTATGTTACATGTGTTTAATTTTTAAAGGGTTTAATTTTCATACGGGTTCACAGGTAAGAGTTTGCTTTGAGTCTCAGAGGCAACTTTGGACTTTTCAGTACTGCTGAAACTGTTAGGACTTAGGCAACTCTTAGAGATGGATTAAGTGCATTTTGCATAAAGGGAGTCTTTTGGGGGCCAGAGGCTGAATATTACAGTTTACATCTAATGCCCCTCAGGAGCTTCATGGGCTCCTAGGCAGGGCTTTTGGAAGGTGTCTGGAGTGCGGGGCTGATAGCTGATTTGCTATTAGGTGGTGGGGTCTCTGCAGGCGTGGCCTGGGAGAGTTCATCTCCCTTCCCAGCTCCTCTGCTTGCTCTGCTTCCTGTCCACCACGCCATGCGCAGCTCTCCTCCACCATGACCCTGGGCCACACTATCCTGCCGTGGAACCAGCAGAGCATGGACTGGAGTGACCTAAGTAAACCTCTCTTACGTTGTGGGTGTCAGGTATTATGTCTGTGGTGAGGAAAGTTACTAAGACAGCACTAAAAATTAAAAATTACCCAAGGCTCATAATTTGTAATAGGCAAAACTGTCAGTTATGGCTCATCTCCAGAAAAACAATACTGTTGCAGGACCACAGAGGACAGGGATGTATGCAGCCTCCTTTCCTGTGCCTGTCTGATGTGGTTAAGTCTTGTTTACCTCCTGCAGGAGACACAGGCCTGCAGGACACTGTATGACTATTCAGATGTCCCAGGGTCCCTCACTTGCTGCAGTGGTGAGACTGGCCACAGTCACAGGGCTAACGGATGTAAAAGCATCAAGACTACGTGCAGGAGACTGCAATATCGATTATGCCCAAAGCAGGCAGTGAAGAGTTAACCCCACGACTGGCTTGTTTTGAGAAGTGAGTCTGGCCAGAGGCTGCATGCTGAGGTCAGAGTAACCCGCACCCAAATTCCATTCCACCATGGACACCTTAAGTAGAAGGACAATGTTCTAACTACACCATATATTTTATCTATGCCATTCCTAATCTGAGAATGCTTTGTCTTGTCTTGTAATGTGAGCCTTGCTTACATTAATTTCCAAAGAAACCCACGACTGCACATCCTCACATGCAGTCCTGCCCTTGCATGTGGCCCACCTTTAGCCCAATTGATTACTAATAAAAATGAGTGGCTTGGACGAACCAGCGTGTTTGTCGGTTACATTGGTTGTCCCAGCACCCCACTTTCTGCCTCTTTTAGTTCTTTTAGTTTTTTTTTCCCTCAAGCCCCACTGTACACTGGGCAGGGGACCAGAGCCTACTGCACAGATTTCCGGTAATGTTTCAGGGGTGCCCAGTACCTATGCTCCTCTCAGTTTACTGGCAGGGAAGTGACTTGCCCGAGGCCACTCCACAAACTCAAGTGGAGCTCAGACTCCTCGGTGCTGGTCAGGATTCACACTCACCATGGCGATGGGGCGGCCAAAGTCCAGAACCCAGTTCTGCAGGGTGAAGTAGAACCAGAGGTCAAGGTGGAAAGGAGCCGTGGGGTGGGCCTCATCCACCTTGGTGGAGCCGTGCCTGGGAAGGAGAGACGGGCGTCAGGCCCTCTCCTCGGCCCATCAGAAGCCTCCCCAAGATGAGCCACGGGAAGCCTGTTGTCTTGAGAGCAGGAAGACACACAGGGCCGAGGTCTAGCAGAAGGGTTCTGCTGGGAATGTCGGACCTTGGTCCTGCAGTCAAGGGGGAGGTGGATTTCAGTTGTCCTAACCTTGGCTTCCCTGGGATTCCGAAGGGAAACCGCCAAACAGGGAATGATAACTGCTGCGCTTCCTCCCCTACAACATGATGGGGAAACGAGGCAGAGGGTGCTGACGGCGCTGAGAAGTGACGAAGGGTCACAGCAGGCCACCTTACCAAGCACTGGTGACATCCGAGGCACCATCGTTACCTGTTACATGGAGAATCTCATTTGATTTTTGCGGTGCTGGGGATTGAACTGCACATGCCAAGCGCACACTTTGCCACCGAGCTACATCCCTAGCCCCCTTCTGTGCCTTTAACCCTCACAAAAACCTCTGGCGGGATGGGATGACTGCCTGATTTTACTGTCCTCTGGGGCCGGCAGGCCAGGAGCAGCAGGCCTTCTCTAAGTCTTCCTGCCCCCTTCTTGTCCCAGCCTTGCCCCTTGTTGAACACCAATTGTGCACTCTGCCAGGAGCTTTTCCCACAACACTTAACCCTCCCAGCAACCCCCGGAAACTGGCTGCTTCCCGACATGGATGCTATGCTTAGTATGGGTCACAGTTTAGCCTCGGCCACCCACTCAGTGGGGATCACTGTGACGACTCCTCCTCCGCCAGCCTGGGTCCTGCCCTGCTTCTTCCAGGAGCACAGGATGAACACTTGGTCCCGGGGAGGGCTGCTGACCAGGGCGGCAGTGGGACTTTCCTAACTGAAGTTGGGGAACAAACTCTTTCCTTCCAGGTACAGGGGATCAAAGGACGCAGTCCCCAAGCTGCCTGTGAGAAAGGTTCCTGAGAAGCAAGTGGCCCACAGAGGGGGTTGGTGGCAAAAGAATATCCGTGTGTCCAGGGCTGGGCACCTCCAGGCCAACCAACACGTGCGCTTTGCTGAGTTGACACAGTTCACCCTGGCTTTCTGTTCCTGAGAGGCTGGGAGCGCTGAGCAGCACAGCATTCACAGCTGGGTGTCTATAGACTCAAGACCTGTGCTCTCAACAGGGAACCTGTGCTGTGCTGGTTGCGGTTATTACAATAAGGCAGACATCAGGTTTTGAGGGATCCTTGCGGCCAGGAGCTGCTGCACGGGCAGCCTCTGGGCAGGTAGGGATTCATTTAACCTGGCAGCAGGAGCAGTGAGATGCCAGGAAATACTGGCTGGGCGTGGGTCTGGGTGGAGATTCAGAGGAACCAGGAGGACCGCTTGGAGACAGTGACCGGCATGGAGGCCTCCCACCTGTTTCTTGCAGTAACCATCAGGGTGAGGCCTCAAAAAGCAGACAGTGATAACCTGTAGGCCCCAAGGGCACAGGTGGGGAAGGAAGTGGCCCCAGTGTTTTGCTCCGTAACCTCCAAAATGGATGTTTGCGGCGAGGAATAGACGGATGGTGGGAGCCCGGGTGGGCCCTTTAGCTGTGAGCCTGTGCAAGTTCTGAGTGCCCAGCACATACAAGGGGCTCAGGAGCGATTTCCTCCTCTACCCTGGGAAGCACATGGGCCAGTGGTAACCCCGTTATTAGTTCAGTCTGGCCTAGTGGGCAGGAAACAAAAAGCAGACCCAGGGCAGACATTGTCCTGGGGACCTCGACTGCTCAACACTTAACTGGCTTTCTTCTTCTGGGACTCTGGCCTGGGAGGCAGTCAGAGGGTACAGGGATGGGCACCCTCCAGCCTGTCCCAAGTTCCTGACCCCACAGGCTGCAGGACTTGGGCCCCAAGCCCAAGGTCTCTCTCCCAGCAACTGCGGCTGAGGACAATGGCAGGGAACCTGATACCGGGCTAGCCTTGTCGCATCTGGAGATACTGACACCGTGTGACAGCTGGACAGTGCAGGCAGCCAGCGGCATCATCAAGACAGTGGTGGAAAAGGAAGGGAGCTGGTCCTGGAGAAGTCAGGGAGGGACCTATGAGTGGGACTGATTTTGGTTCTATAGAGGGAATGGCGGCACAGGCCTGCAACGAACACTGAGGCAGGAGGATCACAAGTTTCGGGTCAGTCTGGGCAACTTGGTGACTTAGCAAGACTCTGTCTCAAAATTAAAAAAAGAAAGGGCTGGGCACATAGCTCAGGGTGAAGGCTCTGGGTTCAATCCCTAGTACAAAAGAAGGCAAGGAAGACCAGACAAAATGTTTGGGCTGAGGGTGGGAGAAAGTGCAGGCCAATGAGAAAGGGGGAAAGAAGCAATTAGGGGCCGGCTCAGTGGTTCCACCGCCTGGCTCCCAAGCGCAAGGACCCAGTCCCCAGGACCAAAGAAAAAGAAAAGCAACTAGACCTGTAGGGAAAACAAGGGAACACTACCAGGTAGCCGAAAATAACTGGCAGCCCTAAAAAAACCCCTTGTGCCAGCTTGGGGCCGGGCACACCGGAGGCGCCTATCGTCCGCGGAGCGCAGGGCGCGCTCCCTCCGAGCAGTGCAGAGGGAAGGGTTTCGGGGATCCCGAGCCGCCCGGGGAACAGACGGGTCCCGCGCTCCGGGTGCGAGCCCTCGCTCCCCGCTGTCCCTTCCGCGATGGTCTCACTTTCCGGAATTCTGTAGGGCGCGGAGGGAGCCTGCCGTAGAGCGGCGGCACC